ACAACGAAACAAATCACATTTATGCCCGTGGCCGGCGGGTTGCATGCAAATTAAGTACAGTCTCGAATCCGGCCACCGCACAAAGGACACTCATTATGCACGAGACTCTAGCGCGATTTTTGCGTTTTTTAAATTGTCAACTTCTTTTTGCAGAGTTAAAGGGGCGAGCGACTAAAACAAAAAACTAAAGGATAAATCGAAACGATAGTAGTATTTTATTACATTGACACCCCAACCGTCTCCCATCCTTCCAGCGTTCGGGCAGGACAATAAGGATCTAGTGAGGCTGGAAAGAAAGCCACAGCATTGTGGTTATGCATAAAATGTTGCATTTTTTTTCCTAGTTTGTGAAACAACTCAACTACCAACCGCTAGGTAACTTATTCTATTTTTCAGCTCCTGTTGTTTTATGTTCCACTATTTCATGTGCACAGTGAGAGATTTTTGGGTTTTAAGAAAAACTTTTTTACTTCGCTTTAATAGAGTTTTATTTAGAGTGATAGCGACAACACAAAGATTTAAATCGAGAAAGAGGCTGAAGAAGGTTTTGATACCCGGTATCGTGTATATTTTACCGCATTAATATAAAAGCAATCTCTTCGCTAATGTTTTAGAAATTTAAGTGACTTCCTTGCAACAACATACTATATCCCATATCAAGGCCAGATTACACGGTAGAATCAAAACCTTCACGAATTTTATTCGGATCTAGAAAAACCCCTGATGAAATTGGCAGTGCAATAGGAGGAAAGCTAGGCCAATTTGTTGCAAGTCAGTACTGGGTGCCTAGATGCGGAATGTATAAATTTGTAGCATCGTTAACACCTCGTCCCACTATTCCCGCTCACCCAAAGAGCGCCCAGCTGTCGGGATTACCAGGCACAATTGGCAAACGAATTAGTTTCGAAGCGAATTTGTCGCGCCCCCGAGCTGCATATATGTACACACACAGAAGCACACCGAACACCCCTCGGACCGACACTGAGCGTGTGGAAAGAGAGACGGGCAGGCGGAGGGGTAAACACATGAAAATCACACAAAAATAAATGTAATAAAGAAAACAGCATCTCAATAAAGGACACAAGACCCGAGGTCCAGTTAAATGAAAAGGGGACGGCAACAACGGGGCCGGACGGGACGGCCCCTTGGCTTGTTGGTTTCCATTGCCAATGCCACCAACCCTACCCCTGCCCCTGTCCCTGCCTCTTTGTTTCTACCACCCCCGCTCCCGGAACGGCTGCAGTCTGCCAAAAATTTAACAGATGTCTCGAATTAGATGCGCTTCACTCGACCCCAGAGGCCCGCGAGCCGTGAGCTACCGAATTTACAGTAAAACGAGTCGGCCAATTTTTAGGCATAATAAAATAGTTACAACTATTGTTCGCTTAATAAGCCTGAGAAATAGTCAAATTGATCGATTTTTTCTCAATCAGATCGCGTACATGACAACATTATGAATATTCTTCTGTTTTACGATATTTAAGTTGAATTTTGTACCTGGTCAGATAAAAAACAAACTTTTATATATTACAATAATCAAATTTTAAAATTACAAAAGTGTACTATATCAACCTTTTTCACAGTACTTAATTGGCTCTTTAGAAATCTTTGAAAAAATAAGTATTAGTTTCCAAAAAATTATAAAAATCATAATCCAATAAAATCCTTTACTTCAACTTTGAATTTTTTTTTTCATATTATTTTTACAGAGTATATTCACTTAATCACCCACTGTTCGAAACGACCTGTTCGAAACGAGTGGACATGGGAATGAGATATGAGGCATGGGGACTGGGAAAGGGAGCAATTTATCGGATCGCTTCCAAAAGCGACCGCCGAACTACAAACGGAATCGAAACAAACCGCCGGCGAATAAAGCAAATCCAAATATTAATGTGCGACTCAATGGTTCGGAAGTGAGCGGAAAGCAAGTAGGGGCGGGGGCGTGGCTGGTCAAAGGGGATTCCTATGCGTTCAGGAACTCTGAGAAATAAAGTCACACCACAGTAGGTAGCAAAATATTTTACGTTACTGCGTAAATACTCCAGTTCTTGTTCTGTTTTCACGCGAGGGACCTACCTACATACATACATATGTGGGAACATAAAATGTACAGAATTTATTTGAAAAAAAAATTGCATATTAAATAAAATCTGGCTTTATATTTGTGAAGTCCAGAAAAAATACATTGTTGATTGATTGTGAAGAAAAAATACATCTGTTTCATGTTATATGTTACAACCGATAGGCACATTTTTATCCCCTTGCAGAGGGTATTATAATTTTGTCCAAAAGTGTGCAACGCAGTGAAGGAGACATCTCCGACCCTATAAAGTACATATATGTACATATATATTCTTGATCATGATCACCTCCTGAGTTGATATGAGCATGTCCGTCTTTCCGTCAGTCTGTTTCTCCGCAAACTAATCTCTTTTTTCCTTTTCACACAGTATATATGTAAGTCGGAACGGCCGGGATCGGCCGACTTTATCATATAGGTTCCATATAAGTGATTCATTGTATAATGGTATAATGGTATAATGGAAATGGTATAACTTTTGTGTTTTTAGAGATAGATTCGGATTTTGCATGAGTGCTATTTTTAGCAAAACAATACGACCCTCCAAATTTCATATGGATCGGCAGACTATATCCTATTGCTGTCATATAACTGAACGATCGGAAATGACCCAACTTTCGTGTTTTTAAAGATAGAAAGCTGGAACTTAGTACAGATTCTATTGTTGGTCAGTTTACCTACCTACCAAATTTCATAAGGTATTCTCATAATGGTCGGCCAACTATATCCGATGTTTGCGATATATATCCGGTTTTATCTGCAAGGGTATATCAAATTTGGCTCCGACCAAAGTTAGCTTTCCTTTCTAGTTAATTGTGAATCTAAATTTGACCATATTTTAGACCAAATTCATAAGTTTTTGCTATTACTTTTGTGAGAAAGATATTTCTATAAATAAACCACACTATAAATATTCCTTGGTTACTTTCCAAGTTCTTAATCCTTCAGTCCATGGTTCAGTCCAGTCCAGTCCAATAAAATAGGATTCCTTTTTCCTTGTTTTGTCGCTTAAGTAATAAATTAGTGACGACTGTCTTGGCTCTGCTGCCATATAACTGAACGAAGCTGGCCTACGATGGTGCGGTTCGTACGTACGCGTAACCACCCCGAATCATCACCAAAAACCCCAGTGTCTCTTCAGGTTTGATGCTTTTTGATTAATTTTGGAGGGGGGTACGACCAACGTCGACGTCAATGGCTTACAAAAAGTTAATCATTAGTAATTTATGGCTCTTTGCGGAGGCGGACTGCCAAGGTGAGTCCATCTAAAGGGGATAAACCAGGGGATAAACCATGTGCATAAGCTTTAGAATGTTTGATGACAATGATGGCGATGTTGACTTTTCAAAGGGAATATTTGCGAAAATGTTTTGGATTGTTTCCTACCTGTCACTTTTCATGTTATAAAACTAAGAATATATCTTTTTTGATCCGTTTTTTCGTTCAGAAATGTTATATGAAAAGTATTAAAAAGATATTTAAAAAAAAATATATTAAAAAGCTAAAATGATTTTCATAAGATAATGTAATGACTGTCATTAAGGAATTACTTAGAAGTCGCTAGTAAAGCAATTTTAAGGCAATTTTCTTTAAATAAAGTATTAGGCAGGTATTGTATTTTAGGTATTGTAGGCATTTCATATAGGCATTGTTGAATCTTAAGAGATAGGGGCGATTTAGAGATAAGGTTAAAACTAATAATTTGATTACTTATTTAAATAAAATATTTCTGGATGGCAATGGGGTACAGACAATCGTCTCGATTCGAGGCTTTCAACTGCGCCATTTCCCAAGTATTGAATAAAGAATGCAAGAGAAGGAATGTTGATGGCATTACGGAGCATTGGGATCGATGGCGAGCACTCCAATGTCACAAAGGAGGAGGGCATGGACAGTGGGAGGTGGTGGAGTGGCACACAATGCTCACAATTGAAATCGGCACTCGATTTAGAGCACACGTACGTTCCATGCTCCATTTCCCCCTCCATTCAGCCATCCAGTCACCAGCAAATGCACTCAATTGCAGTGTCCACTGCCAGTGACCATGAAAAGAGCTCTGGCTCTTTGCCGAGGGTCGCTCCAATGACCATTACAGAATAAAAAAGAGGGATCCCGCACCCGGGGTTCACGCTTCGAGTGCAATGAAAGAATAGAAGCCTCAGAATGGTATAATGTTTTCCCAAGTTTTCAAGGTTTAAAGTGAACTTATCTTTCAAAAAAAAGGGAATTTCTAAAATAAAACGTTTTTAAAAAAAGTGGCAAATTGGGGCATATTTAAATGATTATCGTCTGTGATATATATATATATATCATATATCTATAATATAATATAAATTTATATCTTTAGTAACCAGGAACCGCTAAGGCCAATCCAACCTCAAAACACGATTTATTGGACACTTAAATTGGGACAGCAAAGACAGACGATTAAGTGGATGGAATTTAATATCTAAATATCATGGAATTTTCTTCTAAATATATGTAATTCTTCTAAGAATTATGTGTTTCAAAGATTATATTAAATATAGTAGCCTGATATCATAGAATACAATTTTTATGGAAATAATTATTTAAGTAATAAAATATTAATAATAATATATTACAATTACTATTTACTATTTTACTACTATTTTTACGTATTTTTTAAGCATTGAGGGAAAACCAAAACTTTAGTAAAGACTGTCTAAAGACTTAGTGTCATAACTTAATCACAATATAAGTATATTTAAAACTAATTATATATAATGTACATATATATAAACTCTTTTTAAACACCTCGGATATTGTGTCTAGAGAAATCATAAAATTACGATATTTTTATGCATCACATTCCTAATTTTTAATCCTTTTATACAAACATCCCCAGATATGCAGTTGCCTCATTTCTGTGTGGCAGGAAATGTGTCAAGGTACTTACTTTTGCACTCGTTGGCATCTTGGTCGGTGGCCCTGCCCCAAGGGCGGTCGAAGTAAAAGGGCTTGCAACGCTCGCACTCGGGTCCAGCGGTATTGTGCTTGCAGGCGCAAGTCATGGCCAGTTTGAAGCCCATTTGCAATGGCAGGGAGCTGCGACCGAAGTGCCCTGCCGCGAGGTGCGAGTCTTCGTCCTGGCCATCGTCCGGGTCCGAGAGTCCTGATCCGGTCGTGGATCCGGCGGTGGCCACACATTCGGAAGCATGGCCGTTGCACTTGCAACGCCCACCGACGGCAAAGTCAGAGACAGCATACTGATGGGAAACGGGCAGGACTGTTTGGGCGACGGCAGAGGCGGTGGTGGTGCTGGACGGGGTGCTCTTGGACGATTCGGGTGGTGTGGTGGCTGAGAGCTTTCCTTGGTAGTGTTTCTCATAGAGATTTCCCTTGTGCTTGGAGGAGTGCCGTTTGGACGCTTCGCCATCGCTGGCGTAGTCCAGATGCAGTTCGTCGTCAAGCTCCAGCTTCTTCTTGGGCTCCTCGTACTCTTCGTCGTAGCCAGCGTCGCCGCTATCGTTGTCCTGTAGATTGTAATCGTACTCGTCCTGGTCGCCGTCTAGTTCCAGATCGGCGTCGTCGTTGTCATCGTCCGTTTCCTGACTGCCTCCCATCTCGTCGCTGAAGCTGTTGGCGTTCTTAGCCTTCAGCAATTGCGGTGGCAGTTCCAGGCGGTGGAAAACCACTCGGATGTCGGTGGCGGTCACCCAGTCCTGGAGCACCAGGGAGGCGTCCAAATCGTTGGCAGAGGGTCTCCCCTCCAAGGTATTGAAGGCGAATCGTTGGGGCGCGCCTCCTGTGCCAGCCCCGGCGCCGCTGACATCGTGCTGGGAATTAATGCAACGTGCCTCTTGTTCGTTGAACTTGGAGATCTTGGCCCGATCCGGGCGGCCATAGAACTTCTGGCACTGGGAGCTGTAGAACTGGAACGGCTGCCAAGTCTGCCCGAAGTCGGAGCTCTTGAAGATGGCTAGGGAGTCGGGGCGGGGGGAGCGCGGGCAAAACGACAGCGAGATGTAAGTTAGCTCGTACTTCTTGCCCAGTGACAGGGTCAGGGTCACATTGTCCGGCGGCGCGCTGTCCGGGTCGTGGGGCACATTGACCCCCCCCGACCGCCAGCAAGTTACATTGCTGGGGTTATTCAAGTCGGTCAGTGCGGCAGCTCCATACCGCAGTTGCTGCTGCTGCTGTTGCATGTCGCAGGTGCGGCACTCGCCGGTGCTACCGTCGCGCAGCAATTCGCAGTACCTCTCCGGCTGCTGGCCGCCGCACACACTCGAGGCATGAACCGGATTCCCGTAGGCGGCGTTCACGAAGCTGGGCAGGCACTTGCGCGGCTTGCCCTCAAAGTAGCAGGGGTCGTTGGTGGAGGCGCCAGCGGCGGAGGCTGGTCGAGGACCCACGGCCAGGCCAAGGATCAGCGCTAGTGTCAGTGCCAGGAGCAGGCTTGCCATTGTCATAGTGGATTCCTGGCACTCTCAACCCTGGATAGCGAAGGAGGTCAACAAGTAAACGGTGATGTCAACGTATGGCAACCAGAGAACAGTGGGACAGACTTCCCCAAGCTTTTCATATTCCAAATAAAGAATGACATCTATATAGTTTAGGAAACATTAACTACTGCATTTTGAAAAATTCAAAAATATTTATTATCCTTTCCGATGGCACATTTACCCAAAACTCAATAAATCAATAGTACATACAATTAATTTTATGTCAGTATTTTAAACAACTGATGGTATAAAAAAATAAAAAAAAAATATTAAAAACTCTATATCAATAAAAACCGGGAAAACGCGGTCCTCAGAAAAGAAAACACAATATATGTTGTGACAATTTAATATTTTGATTCAGTATTTAATAAGTCCCATGACCTGTAACTATACCTTTTAACTAAAACTATTAGGTATAAAATATATTTTGTCTGCTTCAATCTCGATCAGGAATATGAAAAACCTTGTAGTATCCCCGCGTATCACCTATGTATGTACGTACATACACTAACTCAGACTCGAGATACCTCGCACTCCACGAGTTCCTCCAACTCACTATAGTCTCTCTCTCTATTCGTTTATATTTTTATTTGATTATATACTGTGGATCAGTTTATTTGGTTCACTGTTGCCTGTTGCAAGACACACGCGCGAATCAGATCGTTTCACTAAACAAACAAAAAACAAAAACAAGACGCGACACGGCGTTACTTCTGACAGCGACGAAATCTCTAAGCGTCTCTGCCCTTGATAGCGTTCCTGTGTGACGTCGCGACTGTTTACCGTTACTCTGCTGCGTCGCCTCGTCGACTGAAACATCCGATACCTCTGGATGCCGGCGAAGCTCATTCGTTCACTCTGCCGCCTTCGGCAGCGCTCGGTTGCGTTCGCTAGGAGCCGAAGCCGAGATTTTCGACTGCGCGTGCGTGTCAACGGTGTCAGAGAGCGCGGCAGTGACAGAGAGAGCGGCGCGAACCGGTTGCAGCCTCCGCGGAAATTGTCCCCTAGAAAAAGCCCGTCATCTCCCCATACCATGCCGATCTTCTCTAAACTGTCATCTAAATATGCAATTACTTTTGATAATTTAAACCTGCATACACTTATACATAAATCCTTAATCAGGAATCTGGAATACGTCTAAAAGTGCGTTGTAAAAAGCCTCCACTTCTGGGATTGGTCTAAACCTAAATCGTATAACACTTTAACGATATAACCATCGTATTTTAACCTATTTATACGAAGTACATATGTATATCACATAACTCAATATTCTTAAAATATCTTATCATTTTATAACTTCTTTACTTATGTACATATATAAGGAAATAATATTCATTAATAAAATATATACCCTGAAGATGTGAAAGCTTCTCGTAATACTTTGATATTTATCGTCGTAATACAACCATACTTCTCCAACAAAGCTAGCTACATCTATTTAGTTGAAGAGAAAAGGGTTGAACATAAATTTTATCATTCCTGGAAATTGTAAGATGCTCAAAGATTGCATCTATACTAATCACAAGGCACTTCCTGATAGTTTCATTTCATTGACTTTGATCAAATCCGCATTTTAGTTTAAAACTCCCTATACCTTTTTTTTATTTAAACAAAAAAAAAACATAAGCCAAGGTCAAATTTTTTGTATTATTTTTATGATTATACATATATGTACATATAATATTACATTTTTAGCCATTGAATGTTTGTTTCTTAGTACTTTTATAATTTTTAAGATACATTTAGCTTTTAAACTATTTGTTTATTGAATATTAGCAAAATTATAAATAAATAATAATTCAAATATTTAATAAACACATAAATAAAATATAAATGATAATTTAACCTAATAAAAATTAGATCATAAAAAGAAACAACTTTACTAATTTATTACTTCTGTAAATATTACTTTTCTTTTAAAGTGAGTAACGTTTCATTAAAAGGGTAACTATAAGATATTATATCTGTTAGATTTCTTGTTCACGTTAATTAGCATAGATGCTGCCGAGAGAGTAAAAGCAACGAGAGAGCGCCGACGTTCTCAAAGGCACAATGCTCTCTCAACATGTTACCGTGTGCAGTTAGAGGGCGATTAAAAGTACAACTTTGACATCGCTGTTCGGTCAACAAGAAATTACGGTTGTTGCTACGCATGTTGCTAGAATGTCAGCAACATTACTGTCTTCACTTTTTCAGCAAAATTGGGGGGATCCTAAAAAAATGAGTTATTTTACACAAGTACAAAGTAAAACAAAGTAATCTACAAATTTAAAAATGTATTTATTTTTATCAAAAGCAAAATATATAATAAATTTTTATGTTTAACTAATATATAATGGATTATAAGTAATGTTGAAAATGTTGCTTTCTTTCTAACTCATACTCACATTTCTGACGAAAAGACCAAAATAATTTGAAGATCTTAAAGGTAAAAAATAATAAATTCAAAAACGTATTAATCTACAACAGTTTATTTATTTTATTTCACACCTCCCCCTGAAAACATTCTTAACAGAAAACATAATAAAAAAGACAATAGCAAAATCGTATAATACATTTCGCGATTCCAGGTCGCACCCGTTACGATCCCCAAACTTCCGCTGTGATGATTATATTTCGAAATTCCACCCATTCATAAATCCATAACGCAGACAGATAAAAGTAAGAAACGGGTTAAATGGATGGCCATGTGGATACCCTGGTACTTAACGCGTTTTTTCTTTCGAGTTTCCGTATTTTTAGCACATGGGAATATGAACAATAATTTTACAAATAGTAAATCAAAAACCAAACTACTGAGATAACCACAAAAATGAAATACAAATTATAATAATTTTCAATGATTCGTTAATATTGCAACTTAAGAACTTTATTTACCCTCGAGTTTACTAGTAATGAGTATAAAAGACGACAGAGAGAAGTGTCTGGGATATGAAAAAGAAGATTGGCAATGGCGAATGCGAGAGGCGACCGCTTCGGAAGACACTGTGTCGCCGAACGATTGTTTCACTCTTCCCGCTTCCTGCACAGCGGTCTCTTAATGCTCCGAGCACGCCCAGCGGCATGCCCCAACCGCTTATCTGCCACTTACCACCACCACGCCGCTGCTGACCAGCAATTTGTAAAAAGATTCCACAATATCCATAATATTCCATTATGTCAAGCCTATTTCGCTGCCTTCCACCATCACCCCGTTCACGGTCACAATTTTTATACCCTTGCAGAGGGTATTATAATTTTGGTCAAAAGTGTGCAACGCAGTGAAGGAGACAGCTCCGACCCTATAAAGTATATATATTCTTGATCAGGATCAACTCCTGAGTTGATATGAGCATATCCGTCTGTCCGTCTGTCTGTTTCTACGCAAACTAGTCTCTCAGTTTTAAAGCTATCGTCTTGAAACTTTGCACACACCCTTCTTTCCTTTGCACGCAGTATATAAGTCGGAACGGATCGGATCGGCTCGGCCGGATCGGCCGACTATACATATCCTATAGCTGCCATATAACTGATTGATCGATAACTTTGGTGTTTTTAAAGTTAGAGAGGTGAGAGCTATTTTTAGGTGAGAGCTATTTTTGGCAAAATAATACGACATGCCAAATTTCGTAAGGATCGGCCGACTATATCCTATAGCTGCCATATAACTGAACGATCGGAAATGACTCAACTTTCGTGTTTTTGAAGATACAGATTATATTTTCAGTTGATCCAAGCTACCAAATTTCATAACGATCGGCCGACTATATCTTATAGCTGCCGTAAAACTGAACAATCGAAATTGGTTTTTGGTAGAAATACCAACTTTGGTATTTTTGAAGATAGAGGTTTGGGACTTTTTTTTAGATTTTGTATTATAATAAATTTGGCTATATTATCATATTCTCATAAGGATCGGCAAATATCCGATATATCCGATGTTTGCGTTATATATCTGGTTTTACCTGCAAGGGTATATCAACTTCGGCTCCACCCGAAGTTAGCTTTCTTTTCTTGTTAAACATGATTTTGTTGCATAGTTCTGGGTGCTCTAAAACAGACCAAAAGAAAAAGATAATACTTTTAGATAATTTTTTAGAAAAAGATAATTTTAAACTTAATCGGAAATCCATGGATCCTTTAGATAAGTTTATATATCTATGACAACATGCTTATACATATCTACACTCAGGTTATCTGGATCAGAAATATGTGAGTCGGGGTCGGGAAGTACTCTAACGAATACCATATTTTTTTGTCCTCCATGAATACTCCAAAACTACTCTAGATTTAAGACTATCAAAGGTGTTAATCTACAATCGTTTTGGGAAGTTAATAGATGAATCCAAAATCACTCGAACATACTGTTTAACAAAATAATTAAAATGAGGCATTCAATCATTCCTGTTTTTTTTCCTAGGTGTACTGACAACGTCCTTCCGGCAACGTTGGCAATAGCTTGGGGTCTTAAATCGGACCGTAATATTGTAAATGTGTTATTATGACGCCGACACGCTTTCGGGTGCCGCAAAATAAAGAGTGGTCACTGGCCGGAACCTGATTATTACGATCATGACGCAGCTGGGCACACTCCTCATGTTGAGGCCTTTGGTAAAGATAATGGTGATGACCGCTGACCATTGGCAGCTCCTGGCAATGGGGGCGTGGCACTCTAGCCTAAGATTTAACGACGCCCCTTAATTATGGGAAATTCCAGAGAAGATGAAATTAGAGATGAGGTTTGTTTTTGGGAATGTTTTAAGGGGTAGAGGCGGTAATGCAGGTTAAAATGCAGCAGGTGTTAAGCAGGTTGATCATTTAGGTGTTAGGGGTTGACATTTATGTCATTTGTTAACCATAAATTTGAACAATTTTGTGAATTTTTATTTTTCAAAGATGTAAAAAAGTTTCTCTTCAGTCTTGGGTCCTCAAAGAAACCAGGGTATTGGTTGATAAAGGGTGTTGATAAACCTTGGGTATTGGGGAAAGATTCAAGGCTCTTAGAAAAATTTTCGGAGTGTCCGGCATACATTACCTACTTTTTGAAACTTGAAGGCCTTTTCAATGCCACTTGACTTCATGTAGCAGGATGCATGGCTATTTTTTTTAAAGGAACTTGGGCACTTTGAACCTTGCTTTCCAAAACTTGTAAGCCGTCTGTCTCTCGGCAATAGAAGCCGAGAGACTTTACAACCTTCCATAAAACCGTCTGTTTCAACACTGCTGAGTGCCTCTGACAATTGAGTCCCCTGTCTAAGATCACTCCATGTAGCACAGAGCCTAGGATGGTAATTTCAGGAAAATCTTAGAGGATCTTAGACGTTGTTGCGAATGTGATTAGCATATTTACTGCAGTATGTTCCATTTTAAATAAAGACGCCTAAAGTTTCAGCGACCCTACATGGATCTCAGATGAGCACGGCTGTGTCACCTGTGTTTATCATCGATAACCCCCGTAAAGCCCAAGGAATCTGGCATGTCTGATGTGTACAATTTTGGACCCCGTACACTGCCTTGTGGTACACCAGCTAATCTGGGTCGTTTGGCAGACTTTATGTCAACAACTACAACACGGAATCTCTTCTCCGATAGAAAACTTATTAAACGCTTGTCAAATGTCCATAACGACAGAAACTGTGAACATTTTGATATCCAAATATCTAGTCGGCACCCCAATACATTGATATGATTTTACCGCATTAGTGTTAGTAACGAATAGCAGAAAGTAGGCTGTGAGCATGACGTTTCACACATTTAAACCAGTGGTCGGCACACCAATACATTGATATGATTTTACCGCATTAGTGTTAGTAACGAATAGCAGAAAGTAG